TGCAGTGTGCTTCACCGCAATTGAAGGTGATGACCCCGATCATTTGTTTAATCCGGGGTCATTATACTGTCCAGACACCACGCGATGCGTGGGCGTGTGGTGTGAAAAATGTAATCAGTTGCCATTGTTTTACACGGGACGTTACTTGTAGTGTGAGATTTGGTATTGTTTCTGTGACGTTTGCGGAATTTGGACACAATGCACACTTTTTAGGTCGGGCAGACCGAATTACTAGACAGCGGATGTGGTGCAACTGGTCGGATGGTCGATGTATTCAGTGTGAATATTGGACTTGGGACCGATCAATGCGGTCGGTGTTCGGAGTAAACAGTGGTCGGATTTCACAGGTTGTTTTAACATAGGCGTCTATGGAGAAATTTCGGGGCTACATAAATCGGTCGGTTCTGACAGTAGGTCGGTTTATCCAGGGGTCGGTTTTGACAGGTTTTACTGTACATTCATTGATATGTGATATTTAGTACCTGAGATATCAGTGTGAAAGTTAGTTAATTATGCAAATTAGGTGATTAATATGCACACATATTTACCGGAAACTAATTGGGTCTGCATAATTCTAGATTCATTGAAATGTGATGATTAGTACTTTAGATATCAAAAGCTGAAAATTAATTAATTATGCAAATTAGGTAATTAATATGTACTGATATTACCACAAAAACTATCAGGTCTGTGCAGTGTCATATGACATCTATGTACCAAGTTTCATTGAAATGTGATGATTAGTACTTGAGATATCAGTGGAAAAACCGAAAATTGACTAATCATTATGCAAATTAGGTGATTAATATGCACAAATATTTATCGGAAACAATCTCTGCATAGTCCTCGAGTATGGAAGTACCAAGTTTCATTGAAATGTAATGCTCACTACTTATATCAAATGCTGAAAATTAATTAATTATGCAAATTAGGTAATTAATATGTACTGATATTACCATAAAAACTATCAGGTCTGTGTAGTGTCATATGACATCTATGTACCAAGTTTCATTGAAATGTGATGATTAGTACTTGAGATATCAGTGGAAAAACCGAAAATTGACTAATCATTATGCAAATTAGGTAATTAGTATCCATGGATTATTACCAAAAACTAATCAAAACCTAGCATTAGTTCAGAGCATGTATGTACAAAGTTTCATCAAAATCCAATGAGTGGTTGTTTAGATATCAGTGGAACAATCATGGAACAGCTAAAAATCAGCTAATTATCATGCAAATTAGTAATTAATATGCACGGATTTTTACCAAAAACTAATCAAATTTGCGCATATGTTCAGAGCATCTATGTACCAAGTTTCATCAAAAGCCAATGAGTGGTTCTTGAGATAGCAGTGGAACAGTCGGACACACACACACATACAGACACACTAACTGCAAAGACTCCCATTATGTGCTTCGCACATGGGAGTCAAAAATAAACAAAAGACTGTATGCAAGTCTAATGAGGAGAAGATTTTTGACCTTTTACCATGGACTTTCTGTTGCAATTAGTGGCAGGTTTCAATGCATATTGCCTGGACTAATAGCACTGTGGTCGCCAATTAAAACTGAATTATTTTACTAAAGGGCATTACATCGTTCAGACTTGGTGTGAATAAGCAATCAGCATGCCACAGGGCATAGATAATCACTATAATTGTTACTTACGATTGGTATTTTGAATAGCGGTGTCAACGTTTTGAAGTCTTTACCGCACTGCCATAATCGAATGTTCCCATCTTTAGATCCTGCTGAAACAAACACAAACATGGAATTCACCATTTATGTTACACACTCTGTCACTGAAATTATTTCGTTTTACACCACACGATGTGTAAGTATCAAAGTACAAACAAATTCAAAGAGAGTCTGTTGGTTTCCAGGATAAACTAATACGACTACCCCTGAATTTTTGCGGTGAAGGAACAACCGCATACACCATCAGGCACATCGACTACACCCGATCATTATTCAGAAAATCAGGCTGATCTACCCCTAGCCGCAATGTACATTGATTTTTTTTTGGAGGTAATAAAGACATGCATTGCCATATTCAATATTATTATAGAAGACAAAATGTTTGTTATGTTTTATATTCAGAAAAGAAAGATATGTAATTTATGTGTTATATTGTATTATATTAGAAAAAAATAAAATAAATGAGTGACATTCACAATAATAAAAAATGTACATTGATTAGAGATTGTAGCACATGCTAAAACTGATTTGCACTCTCATCAGTGATGATGAATGCAACAGCTCTATTTACCTGATGCCACTAAGTCGGTACTTTGTAGAGCGCCGACAGACGTAATCCAGTTCTCATCAACTATTCTTTCATTAGTGCTATTACTATGGGCATTATGTAATATACAAGATGGCTTCTTCTTCATTACACTCCACAAGGCAATAGAACTAGGCAGATATAAATTATCAGTTAATTTCACAAATAATCAATTCACTACAGTCTGTAGATATTTATATTATGCATCTGTTCGGAAAGAGCATTCCTTACATCTGTTGAAAACCACATTCGAAATGTGTGATCTACTGGTCCCTTGGCTGCAGACATTTTTAACCCCTCAAGCACAAGAGTAAATTTGTGTCACCTTTTATCACGTTTTATAAAAGCAAAATACATAAAAAAAATGCTCAAAATGTGACAGCAAAATTTTGGCGGGAAAAATTACAGAATTAAGTGGATTTAACCGAACAGTCTAATTCTACAAAGGTCAACATGTCAAAATGTATGCAAAGTGCTTGCATCTAGCATCACTGCACATATTTTCAACAGTTTTCCTACTTTATAGTGTCACAATCGAAAGGTTTTCATGACGATTCAGTCTAATTTCACTCACCCATCATCAGCTCCCGATATGAAATGTCCCTCATTAACTAACTGCACACAGTCTATCGAACCCTGATGCCCATGAAACACTAGTTGCGACTCCTCTACGACTTTCCAGATTCTTATAGTACCATCTCGTCCTCCGCACGTTATTGCACGCTCTCTAGTTAAACTATCGATACCAGTAATGCTGTCTTGGTGGCCAAACCTGTTAATAGACATATACATAGTCTAATACAAAGACTATTAATGGCAGTCATACTGTGAAATGTTGTACCAAAAACACTGGCAATCAGAGATTTGCCATGATTTCTTGGAAAAAAGTTGACCTGCCATGGTTTCATTTTAATCTGATAAAATGTATTCACCAAATCAGAATACTGCGTGGTACCGCCTACAGATCCTGATATTTTCTGAATATTGGTGATAGCAAATAACGCATTGTGGAAGTGCATTTTATTATTATCAAAGTTGCATGGAGGAGAATTATATGTCTACAATGACGATTTTTATGAATGGTGATTTTTAAAATGTATTGAAATAATTTTAACAATTGAAATGCATTGTATCTACTATGGCAATAAACCATGTGTTTTCTACCGCACTAACTCAGTAGTAATTGTGTTTATATAGAAATGTTGATTTCTTAAAAAAAGGTACTGTAAAATCTGTATTAGAAGCCACATCCCTAATATAAGTCGCACCCATTCTTTTTGAACAATTGAGAACCAAAAATTCATCATTTCTCATATGTGTAGATGCTCTAATTGAACTCGCATCCTCTCTGTTACATTGTACCATTTTAATAGAAGCAGCGGTTTCTAATCAAGATTTTACAGTGCCAAAAAAACAATCTGGCAAGGTTTTAAAGCTAACACTCCCAGTGTGTGCATGTGTGTAATGTGAAATATTGTAAACTACTATTTTAGCTGGAATTAATTTTAGCTGAAAAGACTTTTTGGCCGTTTTGTATAAAATTTATTTTCACTGATTTTTGACAAGTTGAATGGAAAATATAGGAAAAAAGGTATACTAGCTGGATTTCATTCTCACTTAATCGCGAAAATAGCGAAAATTAATTCCAAGTGAAAATAAAGTATTTTACAGTAATGCCCAAATATGAACTGCAGTAACATGTATCCCAGAATACAACAGTGAAACTTACAACGTTTCTACATACGCCATCTCATCTAGATCCCATATCTTAACAGATCTGTCATGTGATGAACTGAACAGTTGATGAGAATTCCTACGAAATGATAAACCCTGAAAGATGGAAGGAAAGAAAAGAAAAATAATGATTATTCCACTAAATGCCAGCCAAGCTGCATAACAGATTGCGAGAAACAGAAAAGAGATTATTACTTAAATATTTTTGCAAAAATGTCTGATAAATATTAAGAAACAAGTCATTGAAAATGATAGTCCTTTTCAGCTTTTTAAAGTGATCTTTTATGAGCTAAACATCAGTTACCCCCTCCCCCTCTCGCAATGACATTTTTAACTGTATCAGTGATAATGTGGTTAGAATGATGGTAGATTACATCAGTAGAGTGGAATTACAGTTCTTAACTACCGGTATCTATTATGTAAGACACGGTGCTGTATACAAATTTCAGGTGTGTACATCAACAGAAAGTTGGAACAATATAGCACTTATGCATTCAATTAAAAAAGCAGAAAACACCATGTGACAAATCAAAGTTGAATATAAAATATAGGAAAAAAAGGTCTATTTTATTTTCACTGAATCATCTCTTCAGCGAAAATAAAGTATTTTACAAGTATTGAAAAAAGTATTGGAATAATAAAAGAAATTAATGATGTATATAGTACTCACGGATATGGCATCCCTGTGTCCTTTAAATGTGTGTAACAATTCACAAGTGGAAGGATCCCAGATATGGATAACTTTATTTCTACATCCAGATGCCTGTTTTGAAATATATAAATTTATACCAATCTTCATCATGGAAAAAAAAATTGCTCATCTCCCTGGTAGTTTCTCTAGAAAAAAAATGGCTGAGCAGCATTTTTGGACAACTGGCCATATAAACATTATAGGTTTTATATTTAGTAAGAATATAGCTGCAATTCAAAAACTTATAAACTTACTAGAAATTTTCCATCTGACGATATTGCTAAACATAAAACGTGAGCTGTGTGGCCTTTATGTTTGTTTTCAGTTCCTTTCCTTCCTCCTGGTATGACATGCTCCTTTTTTCTGCTGTCTATGTTCCCTATAAACAAGAAATGACAAATTAGACAGTTGTTGTAATTGTGGTTAAAAGTGACTGTTGCAAACACCAGCACACAATACCAATGATTACCCACAATCCCATGTGGTTTCACTAACATGTATTGGTTATATATTGATTGGGAAATATCACCAGTACACAGCCATCTTTGGATATGCTTCATGTAATCTGAAAAACACCTTTTTTTTTAATGTTTCTTTTCTTTTCCACAATTTGCTCAATAGTTTGATGTTTTGCTTTGCTAGTGGAGTTTTTTTTCCCCAATAGTAAACCAAATTTATATATAAATAATAAAGAAAATCCCCTAGCACCTTTTTTTGAAAAAACAAATGCAGCAGATAGCTTAGGAATTTAATAGGATTCAAAATGGTAAGCCAGTAAAACATTTTAGAGAAATCAATGTCCAATGGTACAAATCATAGAGAATTCTGGGTAATTTATAAAGCTGTGTTTTAGACAGGTATAAAATCAAACATGTCAGATAACATATTTTAATAAAACTTTTCAGTATCCTTACATTTTATAATCGAACAATCTTTTGAAGCAGAAAATACATGTTTATTGTCAGGTGAAATGACAAGACACGTTGTGGATAACTGGTGACCACGGAGTACATGCATGTCGTCAAGCGATGGTTCTTGATAGTCAGACGCTACCTGCTTTTGTAGTTTACCGGCTTGTTCCAACTGAAATGAGAAAAAAAGAAGTGAATGTTTGGTAAGCAAAACATGCTGGCAATGGCTGAATACTTGGTTCAAACCTTTGAAGAACACCATATTTTCTGCCAACAGTAAATTCAGGTAAATTTTTTTACATTTTCAGTAACTTTTACTGAATTCAATCTTAATTTTGGACCAAACAAATAAATGTGTCATAACTAATTGCTTTTAAACAAAAAATTGGAAATTGCTGCAACATTTCATGCGGAAAAGAAGCAGACTATAAATTGAACTTTTTGTGGATGGTTTCTGAAGTTGACTTTGGTGCTTATAAGGTCAAAATTTCTTCAAATAGATTGTGATAGGTGAGTGGACTAATCACTTTCCTTACAAAATTGGGTCAGGGGAAATTAATTCAGGTTTTGGAGGATGACACAAGTTGATATGGGTTGAAAGGTCAAAACATCAAACTCATTTGATTGACATACCACTTCTTCATGTAATCTATGCGAAATCGCATCATTCAGCAGCTCATCAGATTCTTTCTTCTCTCTTTCTGAAATAAAATGTAGATGTTGAGAATTTGAATCATTTTATGATTTTCTACTCAAAAGAACTATCACAAACAACACTGTGTAATATATATCTGAATCAACTTGTATATTACAGCAAATGTTCTCAGTACGTGATGATACAAATGCAAACATTTGGGTTGTAATATTTTATTTATCTCTAAAAAAAATTTACGTCTTGAACTGATCATATGAATAGACATCTTGATGTACAGGTTGACATTTTGGTTCAAAAATGAAGAATTTCAAGAAGAGCTTAAAGGCGTGCCTACAAGTCCCATTTTCCAGTTTGACCATAAAAAGACACAGGGATGCTCTGAAAAATCTAGGCAAGGTTGGGTTACCAGAAAGGCATTTTTTTTTGTATTTGGCCTCATCGCAAGGCAATGGTCGAAATAACAGGCAGCAGTCAATACATTAGTTACATTAGAACACAACATACCCTGGATATTTCTATACTATATACCAAATACCATGTACTGACTTTGCATCAAAGTCTAAACTACATTCAAATTTGAGGATATCCACAGACTTTACCAGTGAAATGAGTTGTCTTATGATTTTACATGTTCATTTAAATTGAGATATGAGCAGTATTCTAACACATGGTTACCTTGTGCTTCTAACTCTGCCAAATACTGTTTGGTTAATCTAAGTCGTTTTTCTTGTGGTGTTTCATCTTCGGTGTCAGACTCTGATCCCGATTCTGCCTTGGCTGTCTCTTTATCACTATTGATAGATATCAAAAATAAAATAGAATATAAAATGAATTCACCAATACTGATGCCAAACTGAATGACATTGTTAGCGAACAGGCTAAACCATAAACTCTAACCTAGGCCTTACGCACAGCACTGTGAATATTGATCAGGAATTTCCTTACACACTAGCATATATGATTACAGGGACCTGGCGCAATCAAAACGGATGATGTACTCAAAAAATGATTGACAAGTTTACACCTTATTAAACTCTGACCAATCGATATATGCATCATGTGCAGAGGGCAAACAACTCGCCTGACCAGATTACGTGCTGTTCTCTGATTGTAGTTATTTCTATCACTACAAGCTGCCATGTTGAATTATGCGTAATTTCCCAACATACATAGTGGTTATAGGCACAATCGTTATTGCAAAGTAAGGTCACTGCGTTCAAAGTGTCCCTATTGCTTTTCTGTCATTGAGTTTTTGTAAATAGGTTTCTTGTTGGATGGTATTTTTTAACAATTTAAAAGTCTTTAGTTTTGAATCAGTACTGTTCATGTTAGACATCCATGTATTTGTATAGTGTTCCTTACATGATTCTTGAAAGTGCTGTTTTGTTGTATGTTTTTTTTTTCAAATCATGTAGTTTTGATGAAAAACAGAACCAACTGTTTTTCAACACTGTATTCTCCATCTCTAAGTGCATAATATACTATGTTGGTACTATATGTAACTAACCAATATAAAGCATCAAAAAATCAAATGGTATGAAACTAAAGCTATAATACCTCTAACATCACTAGCTGTGGAATCATAGCCCTATGTTGCCAACCGCATTATTTACGTGACTGACTCTGGCCGGCCCATAGGGCTATGGGGCCTTGTGCGACTGAATACCGGTTAAAATCCACATGCCAAATTTGGTCGTCACGAAAATCACATTTTAAGACCTTCGAAAGTACTCACTATGTTTATTTACTTCCAAACAATGACCAGAACCTATTTGTGCTGTGAAATGATGACGGTGGTCATAAAAAATTGACTTTATTTACCGTACACAGAGTCGCAGAAAAATAACAAGACGAAAGACGCCATTTTGGACTACAGAGTTACGCGAGACCTATAGCAAATTACGCGAGACCTATAATTTTGTACCACGTGACCGAAATCAGTAGATAAATTGCGTTTATGCAACTAGTTTCTATTATTAAACAAAAATCATACAATTATAAATACTGTATGTGATTGCTTTGTTTGAACAATTAGAATAACGGGAAGATTGAGTTTTATTCTTCCACCACTGTATCACATGACCGCCAAACGAGATTACATTTATTCTGCGCTAGGGAGTGTGGGATGTCAATGGCTGTCGTTTTCTTGTAATTTGCTTGGTTTATGGGGTAATTGTAAAATATCACAAATTATTGCTTATTTATAAACACAAATTGCAAACAAAAGCTTGTATGTTATTCATCCAGCTATCAATTCACAATAAAGGTATGTCACACCATCGTAATCGAAAGCAAAAGCGATTTAATTTACGTATGCCAGATTTCTGTTTTTAAACGGTGATAGATCCCGTAGCTCTATGTTCGACGTACAACAACAAAATTAAAAAAAAGACGTCCAAATGAAATTGTTAGGGGGAAATTCGATTGTAGGTCGCACCAAAGAGCTACGGAACCGCAGCTATAACATCACATGCTTCATTATATATATATCATGTAAGCAGATATTCTAAATTTAATTGCATGAAAAAACTGTATTAAAGCCTTGAGTTCCTAACTGTTCATGGGTTTCCCTGTTATGTGGGTGTGATAACTGACAGGAAAGCCTCATAAACATTCCCATGAACTCGAGTGCATAACATTTTATGTAATGCTCAGTATAAACAAATTGGAATGGTATTTAAAATTACGAGCTCGAATCTATCAAATGTTGTTACCCTTCTGCTTCAGAATCGCTCTCTATTTCTTCATTTTTAAATTGTTTCCTTTTCCGTTTTAACGCCGGGACGTCTCCTGCTGCTCCTTTTACTGCTTTCTGCAATAAATTGTAAATGGTTACAAATAATGTAATGCTACAAAGTTGTACAACCTTCCGCTTGGTAATATTGTTGAACACGTGTTGCCCATTGCATGTTGTTATCACTTCCGCATTGACTTAATCAGTGATTCAATTCATTACTGCAAAAGAACGTGAAACATAAAATATAAAACACATCAGAAACACGTACCTTTTTCTTTATTCCGACTTGAGTCTTCGGTTTCCTTCCCAAGGACGGACTTTTGATGAAGAAACCCGACATTTTGGAAATTGTGTGCTGGGAATTAATGTTCCTGAGCTAAGGGACAAATCAGAACACGTGTTTTATAATGCTCCCGACTTCTAATGTCCACGACCAATCAGAACACACGTTTTGTAACCTGCGCCCACTATGCTGTCTAATGGCGTTTCTTTCGAAGTAAGGTTAGATCGCTGTTCACAGCAAGCAAGCGGAAAATCGTGTATTCTGTATCGTAAGTGGAAATATTTTGCACTTGCACGTAGCCTCCATTACGTGGTGTATATTCTACAAACTATTATTCGAATAATATAACGATTTGTTACGTAAATTTCGCCGCAAATTATTCTCCGTATAATTGAAAATAGAACACAACAAAGGCTTGGGCCGAGGTGACGTAAATTGACAGTGGTGCAATTCGCCAACTCCGTAATTGGGAGGATATTCATCATCAACAGCATCGCCATCGTTTGTACAATGACAGAATTGAATTTAAATGTTGCTGCATAACTTTAGCGTTCCGCGTATTTTTCGCTGATTACTTGAGAATATTATTACTTGACAACAATAAATCAAAGACCACAATGAGTTCTAGTAAAAGAGTGTCATCGCATGTACGAGTGAAACAAGAGAAAATAATTGATGGGTTTGAAGTGCAAGAAGCAAGAATAAAGCTTGGAGGCGTGCTGCAGACTTTAGTTGACAAGGCAGATGACGTGTATGTATCAATATGTATTTTTCAAATATTGAATGGATTTTAAATATTATTGTGTTACTTTGTCATCTGCTTTGTTGTTATCTGTACATCTGTCTCTGTATCTCCGCAAGTTTCACTTACCGGGTACATGTATTGGCCCAGAGTGTCTAAGAGAGGGCAACACATACATTTAGTCCTTTTTCGCCTTATTCTAACACTTAGCTGATGACTGAATGTAAATTTTGCACACTCTGATGCCCCTGGTCTTACACTACAGTATGTCATAATTATTGTCCTTGGACTGTCTTCCTCCTATTTTTTATTGTGAAATACAAATTTCCTGTATAGAATATAATATCACCAATGTGGCCGATGCATTGTGAATAAATCCCACTGTTTATTATTCATACTATATTCAACCTCTAGTCCTAGGCTTTGTTTATAGGAATAAAATGATCACGACGTTGATTGAGCAAATGGTCAATTCATGTGGCTTTGTATTTGTCAGTACTTGTCAGTCGTACTGCAATGATGCATACTTTATATGTACATCCTTGCACAATATTCGAAATATTAGATCGTTTTCTTTGTTAGTGGTGACCACATGTAAGTGGGAATTATATTCGTGAGGGTGGGGTGTACCTCTCCCATGGTTACATCAATCGTGTGACAACACCCTATACTGCATTTGCTCTATTAGAATTGCACATAAATTAAACATTGCATTCATTGTATATTGATTATTGGATTGTAATATGAGAGGTAATCATGAAAAATACCACAAAAAATGCATGTATGATATCGATTGATTAGTAGCAGAAGTTGCTATCCTGTACTGCCTAAGTGCATACTTAGTAGTACCGGTATTCTTGTGATAACCTTATTATTATACATCTTTTCTCAGTTTTTATTAATAATTTAAATGAGAGATAACATCCACAAATGTAAACGAAACGAAAAAAGCTGTTGAAACATTTGCCTTCAGTGACTGGACTCTATTTCTAACATACGCTATAGCTGTGTCCAAATTAACGAGGAAAGTGTATGAATGTAACATCAATAACCTGGAACATGCTGTGCTGGTGACGTAGTTCACCCCTATATAAGGCAAAATTTAAAAAAATGTTGCTGAATGATGATATAGCTTTGTATTGAGTGATAAATTCTATTGTTTTCAATGCTAGATATTTAATGATTTATTTTGACTACAGATACACCCTTTAAGTAAGAACATGTGCTGCTGATAAAGAAAATACTGGTACTGATTTATCTCAGGTAGAATAACATTTGGGCAATAAAAAATATGTCAGAACTGACCCCGACCCTCCCACCCCCCTATGTGCAGCTTGCCTATATATGGAGTTCTAATTGTTTTGTATTTCACTTTACATACAAGTGGTAATATATCTGAAGAGGAAGGTGCCAAAGGCTCCCCAGAGCAGTCTGGCAGCAAGTAAGTAACCATGACAACTGCATTATGAGATTTTGAGTTACAGAAAACTGAGCTTATTATACAACTGTACTCAGCTTTGTTTATTGTTGCATTCAATAATAATATTTTATTGTGCTTTTGTAATGGTGTCAACCACTACTAAAATAATATGCCACTCAGGGTAGCCAATTTGTCCAAGATAGCAACGAACAAGCGTGATCGGTAAACGAAAAATGAACATTGTGTGAAATATAAAATTACAACACCTCATACTGAGATTGCATAAACACACGAGTCAGTTAAAATAAAAATAATTTTACTTCACTGAGTCTTGTGTTCTTTAGAAAGACTTTCAAACGCAATACCGGGTACTAGTATTTAGTCGTGCAGAATCATTGCGCTTTATCGTACCCATACATCATGTATAAAAATCTAATGCGGTAATGACCTGTGACCTACGTCACAGTGAATGTAGCAGAGGGCAATCGATATACATTAAAATTGAAATAGTGTTCAGTTCAGCATTATGTTCCCCCACCTGGGAAGAAGTTTATTGTAACTACAAATCATTCTACTTTCTAAATCTGCTTATTCTTGATACATACAGGGATTTACCAGGATCTAATAGTGCTAGTCCGAGCAAAAAATCCGGCAAAAATCCACGAAAGAGAAAAAAGAAAGATGGTCTGGGAATGGACTATGACAAGTCCGCCGTTGAGACTACTCAATTACAGCGTAAGTTGCTTATGTGTCAGCACAGCACTTATACAAAAAAAAGTCAGGAGAGACAACGGTGACATTCAATGTCCAGAACTGTCGCCTGGCACAAAAATATTTAAAAAAAAAAAAAAAGTTGCTTTTCAGTTTGCGTTTTATTCTCAATAGTCAGTTGAGTGTCATACATTAGTGATTATCTTTGGTGTTCTCCCTGTTCTTTTGCATTTCAGGTGTTAATTTCTGAAAAATACATACATACATTTACGCTGGTGTTCAAAAATACATGTATGAGAATTAATCTCATAGTAACGCTAATTTCTCTAGACGTGTAACACATCAAACGTAGATTAGCCTTATCACATTTGATCTTGTGCAAGGCTATACATGGTAATGATGGCTTGTGTGTGACAGAGCTAAATGTCCAATCAGATTAATACTATAAGTTACCTATTGATTTTGTTGCAAAAGAAAAAAATGACAGTGTTCTCTTGACATGACAGTTCAAGCCTGCTATTTCACTGACGAAGCATGTATTAAAACTATCGGGTACCATGGTTAAAAGTCTTGGGGAGAACGCTGTTAGCATGCATTTCAGCTGTCATCCTCTCTACTTAGGTAATGAGTAATTTTTCTACATTGCTTAGTTTAGAACCTACTGGTAATAACACTTTTTATTTCCTGTACTTTTTTTATTCCTAGATACTTACATAATGAAATTATTTGACCGCAGTGTTGATTTAGCTCAGTTTGACAGCTCTACATCACTATACCCTATATGTCGAGAATGGATGCACAATCAGCCACAAACCAGACTACCTCACAAGGGGGAATCATCACCGGATAATTTACCAGCCGATGATGTAAGTAAAAATAAATGAATATTCATATTACATATTGTTTATGTTTAAACTTTTTTCTGTAAATGGACGCAATTTTACTGTAAAACAATGAACTCCAACTTAAATTACAAATATTTTGGTTGCAATTTTGTATGTCATTTAGATGATGGATTCAGTGTGGCCCATTGGTCTGGAGTAGTAATGTGGGTTATTTAAACAGTGTGTATTTATACAGTTGTTTTTGCTTAGTCTATTATATTATGATAGGTACCATATGAATTACTTCACTTTTGAATAGGGGTATTTCATATCATGGTCTCCCACTCTCCCACACCCCTTTGCAGTGCCCACCAGATTACTGGTGTATCGTGTGATAAAATAACTACCTGTTGAGCTTCATGAGGTGATAAATGTTTGATTTCAGCAGAGTGATGATGAAGCCAAATCGGTATACCATTTACCATCTCCACATAAATCAGTAGAAGATAAAGATATCCGTGTACCTTCACCAGTACCACAACCTGACGAAGAATTTAAAATGAATTCGGTAAGTATGAACCCTGGTGTTGGCCCTTATTCTGGAACAAAGGGACGAATTTAGAATTTCTTTTGGATTTTATTGCAAATCCCATCAATACTATACTGTACGTATGTTGATCAGATTTTTGTTGATTTTACTATTGAATTGCTTGAGTTATTAGTTAGACATTTGTTGTCGTGGTTAAAGTTTAAAGTTCCTATAAAATACTTTTCGCTTGGAATTAATTTTCGCTATTTTTGCTGAAGGTTCAGTAAAAATAAAATCCAGCGAATATACTTTTTTTTCCTATATTTTACATTCAACTTGTCAAAAATCGGTGAAAATAAATTCCATACAAAACACCTAAAAAGTCTTTTCAGCAAAAATTAATTTCAGCTAAAATAAAGTATTTTACCAGGGATCTGCCCACGCTGGTCGGCGCCGGTCTCTAGCGACCGGCACTCGGAATCTCCGACCAGGACAAAAAATTGGCGACCAGCACTATTCTATTCTATTCTATTCTATTGTTGTCGGCCACTGGACCATCAATCTATTGTCCTTGTTGTTTTTAACACACAACACAATGCAAAAAATTAACACACAACAAAACTTGAAAGAAGATACCGCTGTTCAAAATCAACGTACACGTGTGACATCAGCCTAATAATGTGTTTTTGTTTTAACCTCCGATTGACATTCTGTTAGTTTTAACAAACGAACCAGATCGGAATAAGTCGTACATCAAGATAAGGGGAGGGAGGACAATGATAAATAAACCGAAGGAAGGATTACCATTGCAAGTTTAATTGTTTGTAGGATTTGCCGAGTTGAACAATAACTTGCTCACTTCACCGGCAGCGATGTGTCAAGCTGTCGTTCGTTTAATCTGCACTTGCACTCGAGTGTAGTAACCGTGATTGATGTTTTTGGCTTCATGACTCGTTTATAAAAATAAATTCATAAGCTATATTCAGTCAGCGATACAAGGAATACTAATTTCTCACTATTAATGTGATTTACCAGCGTTCTATCGGAAAAGAAAACAATTAAATTCCGGCACTCAAATCAAGCTGGGCAGAACCCTGAATTCAACTTGTCAAAAATCGGTGAAAATAAATTCCATACAAAACACACAAAAAGTCTTTGCAGCGAAAATTAATTCCAGCTAAAATAAAGTATTTTACAGTAGTCAAAGTTTGTGTACCGTAGTTGTATGGGCTATGTTCATAAAACATCACATCAGTCAGTCAGAGTTTATTTTAACTATCTTCCAGGATGGAGTACAAGCACCTTCAGTAGAGACATTACTCAGCAATCACCTCGACAGATGGAAAACGATTCGTCACAAGTGAGTAACCTCCTCCCAAGTCTAATGTAGATGTAGAGGCTTTAGCTGCTTTAAAATCATGATCATCTGTTTAGAGTCACTGCTATATGCGCTTCAAAATATGTCTGACCAACTACTTTTTTTACAAATCGCTTTCAGGCTGCTCCTATCTGACTGGACTTGTCAATCAATTTGAATGTGGTTTTCTTGGGTGTTCTCCCTGTTACAGAATATTTTGCATAAATTTGAGGTGTTGAATTTCTGAAAAATCATACATAGTGGTCACTCAGCGTGAAATGCTTTGGGGAATTGATTACTGGTGTGTATTTCTAGAATCGGCCAGCTGATCCTGCATTTCAGAACCGATTTAGTTGGTCATGTGTAGTATGAAGCATGTTCACTGTAAATCAGTGACTGTAAAATCAACCAGACTATACCTACATCAGATCATAATAAGATGGCTTCCTTTTGCTTTCATGCCATCAAGTTTGCGTTTCATTATAACATTATTTTGCATGTTTCTTTTTTGAATGAACTTCTGTCTTTACATTACTCTGCTACAAAATGATTACCCATAATATTAGTAGTATATGATTTGTACTATTGTACTTGTATTTCACTTTTTATTGGCAGAATATCTTAGACCCGATTTGGAATAGTATTTTTTGTAATGTGATTAGAATTTGGACCAAATTTTGGAGAAAGCAAATATATAGATGTGCTAAAAATGCTATCACTCTTCACAAAATGCAATTACCAATACTAGTACCGGACTCACCATAATCAACTAGCAGACAACTAGCTGGTATGGATTGACTGTGGTTATCTGTAGTATGATTCACGGTTGTTAACTGAGTTTAACATATTCTTCACAAACAAAACGAAACATCAAATTATTTAGTAATTTACAGAAAAGAAGATAAGAAAAACATTGGGGAAAAAATATATTGTCAGAATGCATGAAACACATGTACAGATTGTATTATGTATTGGTGATGTTTATTGGAGTTTTACAAACCAATATGTTATTACTATTTTTGTGGAAGATCTCCTCTTACTGCCTTCCTGAGAAGTTTAAGATCCCAATTCACTCCACTGTAAATGTGTTTGTATTTGTTTCACCAGGTGGAAAGATGCGTCTCAAGCTAACCAAGCAAGATACTCTGAGAGTTACAGTGTCTTGAAGAATATGTATGATAGACAGTGAATTTTGTAGAGGTAGAATACTGTACTGGTAAATAATGCCATTGAAGTACATAATTATATTGAATATTATATTACTTTGTAAATGAGTAATACCAGTATATTAAAAATATCTGTTTCATTGCGGTATGTAGAAATCTAAAAATAATGATTTATTATTTGTCTGTCATGTGTATGTCTATTATTATCGATGTGCCCGTCTGGTGCTTTTGAAATACCAGTACTGTAACTTGGGTATGAATACTGCCCTCTAGTGTTCTTTTGTGTATATTAAAGCGACAATAGCTGTAACTATCAATCTTTTTCTCTGAATTTTTATTTTTAATAAAATATTTTTTGTGTCATTAGTGCCAATTTGTAACATGGGAAATGTGTACAGCGAATGCATAGCATATACACTATTTACCAATGTTGTATATTAAATCACTTGCAAGTGCAAAAAAGGTGGCCATGTGGTTGCTTCCACAGGGGGTCATCAATTGAAATCCAGTATTGTCAAGCAAACCTTGCAGTTTAAGATGAATTTACTGGGGGCACTGAGCAAAATACATCTCCATCTTGTCTTCTCACTGATGTGTCATTTCCTATAATGGTGCGAGTCTACATCATAATTTTCTACTACTCAACCCTTCGAAAATGTATGAAGTCTTTAATTATGAATAGTGCAGTCATTAGCTCACAATTATTTATTTTTTTAATTTTTATTATTTAGTATCCTTAAAATTACAGTTCTCTAAGAAAAATACAAAATATAAAAAAAGATAAATGAACAATAATTGTCATAATGACAGTCCCCTTGCATCTTTTTTATAGTCCCCCTTGGTGTCATGGATTGTCCATTCATTTGTCTGTATTTTCAGACCACCCTTGTACTTCTATAAAAACAATAGAATTAACAACTGCATAGAGCTGTTTCATAGTTAAAGCACTGTGGTGAATGAAAAAGCTGTCAGCAAACTTTTTGTACCAGAAAGCATCCTTGAAAAATGCATTTACCAGCGCAATAGTCTTGCATGAACAAAAAATCTGTTTCTAAATGTTGGCTTTTAAAAACTGTAGTCTGTCCCCTTGTCATTGTAGACTGAGAAGTTTTCTTGTTTATTATCTAAGTGAAGTGCATCGCTATGGAGATGCCATCAAGGCAATTTTTACGTGAAGATCCTTGTCATCCCTCTGTGTTGCAAATTGCCACGTGTTCAAAAATGTTCTTTTTTTGTATTTTTAGCTCCATGTACATTTAATATACTAAACCAATGTAGTACAATAATATAAATGCATTTGTATTTTGAATGGAAATTCTATTATAAAAAAATACCTGTGATGTTGCATCAAGAATTGTACCGGTATTTGTATAAGCGTGTGTAATTCACAACCTGTGGACTGATATTGATGCAAGACATTCTTTGAATTGATTTGACCGCAGCTGATGCACTTAATTACCGATATGTTCATTAAGGGTCTATGATTAATGAAATTCACAAAACTGTATAAGATATTCTAGATATCTGAAGCTTGCTAATAATAAATAAATCTATTATAAAATCTGTTACAGGTTAAATATACGAAGATTTCAGTAAAAGTTTAATATTGCAAAGATAAAAATTGTTTCACATGAACAAAAGAAATTCACATAAATCGTGCTCTCAGAATTAGAACCTATAGGCAAAAACCTTTCTCTACTAGGACGAACAACAAGTACGTGCTTGTCTTTAAAGGTATGCGGTAACAAGAAAAAACAACTGAGGCTGAATTTTTGTTATTCTTTATGGCTATTTGAAAAAAAAAATTGAGGTAACCTTGGTTACGTGTAGTTTCACCAATTTTTTCAATTCAAAATGGCCGACAGATCCGGGCTCAACACTATAGCAGCAAAACGTCAATTATCAAATATTTCCTTAGCTAGCTAGCCACATTAATCTTAAAATGAAATTTAACGTTCAGATATTGGTGTAGCAAAGAAGCGAGTGCATTAGTGTGAGTGGTGTGAGCAAGCTGCCATCATGGTTTATCTATTTCGTGCCACAAATTGAAAAGTTTGTGAACAATTATACACTGTTCATGACTAGACTTCTGTATGAAATTAGCACTGCTACTTCAGGAAGCTGCATTATGCACTTTGTTCTGTGACAAGAACTGCCTGGTAGAATCATGTTTTACAGCAATATACCATCAATAAATATTTGAGTTACTAATTGGAAATTTACTTGGCTGGAAGTTTATTGCGTCATAGTGGGATTAACCCTGTCCCACCGATGCTAGTGATAACCTAACCCTGTGGTAGTAGCAAAGTAAAATTAATCTGCCCGCCCACTGAAATGTGAACGCATTGATACTCTTGTCACATTTGCATGGTTGCTGCTCACCTCAGCAATGTTAAATTGCTATTATGTCATAGTAGGTGGTGACGAATCGCATTTCTAGAAATATTCAAATCTGCAAGTAAAATGGTTAGGGATCATCATGTTTACAGTCCTTAGGTATTCATGGATTGTAGACTGGATGTTCTAGCCATCTTGAATGTGGTGGCGCTTCTGATGTACCGGTAAATGATAATCGGTTCTCTTTCCTCAAATCATTTTTTTTATGTTTTGAGATGGTCATTCCTTATGGTCTGTGTATCCATCAGGCAGAATAAGTTCAATATAAATTTGAAAATACAAATTCTACACATTGAAAAGTATGCTAGTTTGCATTAAATAAGTTGTTCTTCACATCACATAAGTTGTTCTTCACATCACATCAGTTGTTCTTCACATCACATCAGTTGTTCTTCACATCACATAAGTTGTTCTTCGCACCATACATGGTTATGAAAATTGCATCATATTTTTGTTGATAAAAATCATAATTTGAACACAATACATGTTTTTAGCTTGATATTTCACATAATTACAAAGTGGAAATGCAATTTTAAGATACTTTTATCTCTCTATGACATGCATCCTTTGTCACACCTTAATAAGTACCCTAGGAATGAGCACCTCGCCCAACATCATGTACCGGTAACTAGAGAGCAGCGCTTGTACTAAAACAAGTTAAGACTTTAACAGAAATAACACCAAATTAAGTTGTTTTAGTTGACCTTTTCCAAATAACTATAAACCTCAGCATTTCTAAAGTAAAAAAAAAGTTAAATCATTTAAACTGAAGTGACAGTAAAATTGAGATTTTGTTTGAGACTATAAAATTGTAGTGATGCTTTTAAAACTCACAAAGCCATACATTGATTTAATACTTTTACATTGATAGGAGTATGTAACTTTTATATAAGTGTATAAAAAGTATAAAAATTTTATATTTCTTAAAATATATCACAGTTTGAAATTGTTGGATTAATTATTCATTCGAGCTTTTGTGTACCAATACAAATACCTTTGTCTGGATTTTTTTTCATATTAAATTTAAATTCTGTTCAAAATACATATTTTTATTGTATCAAAATATAACGCTAGTGGTTATTGCTTTGTGAAAGTCTTTTGATAAAGTGTTGATATTTGGAAAATGGCCCCAACCCCAGCCCGTTCCCTTATAGATCTGATTGTAGTACTGTTGATTTATTTTGTGGAAGATTTATTTGTTTTCAATTTTCTGAATACTGTGAGTTTATAAGAATTACTGCATAGTATATCTGTCAATTCCCATTCTCAAATTTTTTAAATGAGAAAAAATACACTGTATAATGCCATTAATAATGTTTTAGATGAAATTTTTAAAAAGCATCTTGTCAAACGGGTATAATATAAAATTTGTTGATATTTCAAAAAAACTATCTAATAATATTATTGCTGTAGTTGTGCACTGTTGAAAGGTTTAAAAACTTTAAAGTTAAATCAAAATTGAAAAGTTGAATACAAAACATTTTCACTTTATTACAGCGAGTCTCTGAAGTATTATTTAAACTTCAACTGTTCATAGTTTAACTTTTTGCCTCTACTGTCTTTATCCATGACCATTTCTTTCAACTCGACAGTCTGCATGTATTTTTGATACAGGGCACATCAATGTCTATACCCTCCGAGTGCCATTATTTTTTTAACCGCCAAAATTTAGCATATTTTTATGTAATTTTCTAGAATTTTTTTAATAATTTAGGAAAAAATAGACCTTATTTGCTACAGATCTTGATCCAAAAGTTTTTGGAGAAAATATGAAAAAAAAAAATATGTAGGTTTTATTTTATGAATGGTGACAAGAGTCTGGCTCTCAAAAGGTCATAGGTCAAGGAGGTAATTTCCTATAGGGACATGTTTTATTTCTGGCGTCTGATCTACATCACAGACTGTTATATGTTGCTTGGACAATGTAAGTTTATGGTCTACTCGCAAGCTGTTACTGAATGTCGGTTGAGGAGCCAGTGAAAACAGAAAAAAATCAACTTTGACGTAATCCTGAGCAACAAAATTTATATATGTTGCACATGTAGGATTAGTCTTGTTACACTGTTCAGGAGAGTCTCAACAACTAGCCCAATGAACTGTTGTTTTCACCAGTTGCTGTTGTAAGGCGGTGAAAATGCCTTGATACCCCCCCCCTCCCCCCAAATACATAGAAAGTAAGAGTTTATCTTTAGTACACCACTTCCTTATTTATGTTGGTGTGGATGTGCAGGAAGTTATTTTTAGCACACTGTTTCTTTATCGAAGCTGCTCTGAGGAGGGGGTTGTTCATCTGGTGTTTCCTTACAAGGCTCCATGCGAGAGTTATACATCATCTGTCTGGCGGCAAACGCTTCTTGTAGCAAGTCGCAATGTATCAACTGCTTGTGGAAACAGTTGATGAAATTTCGAACATCACGTTCTGAAATAGAAAACAGAAGTTAGTAAAGATGCATACCGGTAATTTGTGATGAAAAGAGGGAACTTGTCAGACCTGAAGAAAATTTGTTGGTCATATTTCTTAATTCTTATAAGCTTAAAATAGAGTGATGAATTTGTTGGTCAACTAAAAAATTATACAAGAGTGATCTGATAGCGATTCCAATTTAATAAGAAAACTTTCTTGAATTTTCCTGGCATGGTAATATAAATCTTGGGAAAACCATCCAAAATGAGGTGAATTGAGCTTACCTGGTTCAATTGGACGGTTTCCATAGTGACATATCTCTATTGTATCCATTAGAGTTTTGCCAAGAGAACGCCGGGATATCCTCTGTGAAGAATAATAATATTTTTATAACAACAGTATGTATGTTTCAGTGATTTCCATGTTCTTGATGGTACCTAACTGTTTCAAATTGTCCATGGGATTTTATCTGGTTTTCTCCTGCCTATGTAGGTGTCTTTTTAGCTTTGTTTTGTGTTACTGTTAGAGTGAGCATGGAACTATAAACCCCAGGAAGAACAACCACTTCGTTTCCTTTGAACTATGATAGTTGCCGCAATGTTGAATGTTTATTTTGACTGTTTATTTCGTCGCATTAAAAAATAAGCCGATTTACGCAAATGAACGGTTATCTCCGACTATCGGTCATTTTCGGAGTCAATCGGGCGACTTCGGGAGATCACGTGATCAAGTTGTTTCGGTTATAGCATAAAAAATCAATGGCGCCAAGACAAAAACACTGATAAATGAGCGACATTCAACGGGAAAAAAAACACATTGCCACTTCTGGCGATCGAAGGGAAACACAGAATAAGTCGGGATATCTCGACAACAAACAGCATACCAAACCCCATGTTTCGCAAACTTTCGCAACCTTATTTCTTCGAGGGTTGAAAAAAACAAGAAGTAATCTAAAAACGACATTGAAAATTATGAAAACTTGCTAAAACTCCGACCCGTTGCATGATTTCCGGTACACTGAAGGTCACCCTGCAGACCGACTTGTTTGCGCATGCGTGGTGAACAAAATATTTTACTGCGCAGATATGAAATTTTTCAAGTTTTCCGTTTCCAGCAAAACGGTTGATACGGGCGTATAGGCGGCAACTAACATGGAGTATGACTAATGTTGTGGAAACAAAAGCGAAAGCACTGTAAGATAAAGGTTTTTTTAATCCTCTTTAATAGTTTTGTTGTTCTTCCTGGGGTTTATAGTTCCATGGAGTGAGTGAGAGTGTCACTCGGACTATGTAATTGTCACTTGGGATATGTTGGGCATCACTTTAACTATGTTGGTTGTTACTTGGACTTTGTTGGGTGTCATTTGGGTTATGTTTGTATCACGCTGGATATGGTGTTGTCATTTGGACTATTATGATTTATCACTTGGGATATGGTGCGTGCGGGTCATTTGGGCTATATGATTTGTCACTTGGGATATGGTGGGTGTGGGTCATTTGGGCTATATGATTTGTCACTTGGGATATGGTGGGTGTGGGTCATTTGGGCTTATGATTTGTCACTTGGTATATGGGTTGTGTCATTTGAGAACTGAGGCATTATGGGTAAAGTGTGCCAAATATACTGATCTCACAAGACTTACCAATGCTCTAAGTTCCCTTAGTAATGAAATAACTTCAACGAACGTTTCTTCCATTAGTGATAGTCTAACTCTCTCCGTTTCTAAGTT